GCAAAATTATGTACAAAAGGAAACAGCGTGGGAATGATTAATATTCAAAAGGTAAATTGTAAGTCTGATTCTTTGTACATGTTGCTGTAAAATGATATGAATGATGTGGGTAAAGTTTAGTCAACTATAGACTCAAAAAATTTAAATTGAACCATATTTGGTTAGTTCCAATGTCAAAAATACTTCAAACAATTCAAATCCTAATGCCCAACTTTACTTCTTTAATGTCTCATTCAACAAAATTACAAGAATTTCTTAATCTCAATAATGCCATTCAAATTTCCACAAGTGCCCATTTTACATCAACAAAATGTCTTTCCTCATTTCCGTCCTTACAAGAAGACACAAATCTTAAATGAATATCTTGTCATACAACAAAAGAATAAGAAGGAAATCTCCTTAAAATCTCATTAAATGTCTCTTTCTCTTTCATCCATTGCATGTCTTATCATTTTTTGTGTATTATTGCTGACCATTTTTTCTTGGAGAAAATTTTACATCCTCAAAATAAAAATAAGATAATTGACCACTTGATGTCTCAATCATATCCATTCAATATTGAGCTAACATGATGATGACAATGATAATGATGATTATAACAAAGGAAGTTGAAAGGCACATACAATGTAAAGTCAATCTAGTCGACCATAAAGATGAGAATGAGAAAAGAGAAAAAAAGTTCAAGGACGAGCAATGGCAAAGATTGTGTGGCATACCGTCATCAAATATATTATCATCTCTAGTCCATGTCCCGTGTGCGATGAAACAGTGAAATTTTCGTCTCGAAAATGGAATAAGAAAAATTTGCCCTTATCTTTTTGTGCAGTTATTTGTATTCATACTTATTCTATCTCTTTTATTCAAGGGGCTGTTCATTAGTAAGGCCTAAATTGTGGTCCTGATCAACATTAAACCTTGAATCAATTTTTATATTCTCCCTGTTGACACTAGGTTTGAAAATAATAATTGAAGTAAACGTCACTGCCTAAAGAACCCCAACTCTCATTCTTGATATCTAAAAAGGAACCCTAAATCTTTAATGAAAATGGAAATGATGGCCACGAGCACGCAAAACGGAATTTTCTGTACTAATAAAAATTTTCTTCGTCCTCTCAAAGTGGATCAAAAAAGTTGTTGCATATGGAAATTTTATCAGAATCTTAATCAATTTGGACTAACTTGAAACATCCGCCCTTGAAACAAAAAATTGCGTTAGCCACAAAGGCAAGAGAGCATTCACTTCCGAGAAAAGTAATTTTCCTTCTTATTAATTCCCCAAAATATGCCTTCTAACTCGTGTGCCGCACATCTATTTCCTTCTTACAACCTTACTCTCTCTCTCTCGTTCGCATTTTCATTTTCTCTGTGCGTATAAATGTTTATATTTTCTTTCTCTTTGCGGGTAGGTCAAGGTGAAATTTATTATGAACGAAAAAGAGATTTTCTTCTTCTTACTATTATTTTTCTCATGTCACTGCTGCTTGTTTGATTTTTCTTCTAGAAGGAAATTTTTTCTTTTGTTAAATTTTTTTGGGGGTTGTTCATTATTGATGAATGAATCTAGACGAGAAAGGTTTGGATCTGTGTAGCTTTAGACTGTATTAGGAATGTCTTCTCTTCCCTGGATCAGGTTAATTTGAGAAAATGCTTTAAAAATCTATTAGCTTGCCTTATTATGTAATTGTGGTGGTAAAAGATGTGAATTTGATAATAATATGTGGTTATAGCTGAGCACTAGGCACACTAAGCCTACATGGTGGTCAAAAACGAGCGGAAGGTATGATATTAGATCACTGATGGGCACTGAGAGTCCAATATGATCCTTGAGTATTAAAAATAGTTCCAGGGGACCAAATGTATTAACAGAGGGTCACAAGAGAACAAAGCTGATCACAAAGACTTCCTACTTTAGCCTTTTAAGTCCTACAATATTAAAAAAATTGCGAGACTTCTCCTCAGAACTCGAAGTTGACTCGAGATTTTTATCGAGTTTGTATGGTGGAGTCGACTCATCTCCATACAAAATTTCGTCGACTTCGAGCTCTGCTTCCCCTGATTAGCATAACCAAAATTTGCCTTGCATAAAAATTATAAAAATAGTCTCTCAACTTGTTGTTCTTTCGAAGCTCCCATTCTTATCTCATCGCATCACTTACTTTATTTGTTACAATTTTCTTTTGCGCCATATTTTCTTTTATTCTTTTCCTTCTGTCCTATGTGTACGTATATGATACAAGATTTCCATGCTTTGACACTGAACATAATATTATTTTTCTTATTCTTAACGCGCATTTTTTTGTGTTTTGAGTACAGCAAGTAAAAAAAAAAGTTTACAACTCACGGCGAGGTGTAAAGAAGATCAGCTGCCTTTTTGGCTTTTATGTTATGCTCGCGAAGATATGATGAAGGAATAAGAAGTAAGAGGCATTCATAAATGATGATGGAGAAGAAGATTGATGAAGAAAAATTCTCTTTTGTGGGATTTAAGGGCTTTTGTGCCTTTAATGTTATGAAGTCGTCTTCTTTGGAAAAGATATGAGAGATGCTGTTGGTCTTGAGTTGTAGATTTATGGAGGTAGATTATTAAAATTGAAGAAATTAAAGGCTTTTTTGGTGGAATTTAAGTTTAATGCAATTTTTTTAAGATATGGAATTTAATTTGGTTAGAATTTTTTGGGGCTGTGTGTGATTTTTTTGTAGCTCAATTAAAAATCCTAACCTTAAAATTTTGATTTTTGTACAACCTAATTCTACATCATAATCCAACTAAGCCCCCAAAAAAATTTATCACATAATTAATTCATCATCGACAATTCATTTTCTAAAAATATCTTCATAGCACCTCCTATGTTTAATTGATTTTTCATCTCGTCTACTTTTCAATCATCCGATTTCATTCAACTATCAAGAAAAGAAAATAATATTGTATGGAAAAAAAGCTCACACGACTTGATATTTCATTCTTATAGCTATGGGGTCCTTTGTATGTTATGGAATGGTTTAGGGTAATCAATTTTGAAGATTTTAGTGACACACTAGCAAGTTAGAGTGTATAATTTGAGTACTACTGCTTATGTGGGGTCAGCAAAAGTGTCTTTAGAATATTTCACTCCATTTTAGTAACATTGAGGCAAAAGGGGTTTAAAAAAATAATTTTAACAAATGCCCCACCATCCACACGACCCCAACACATAACTTTCATGCCGTTGACAGACAAAAAGCCGAAAAAAATGAGAGAAAAAAAATTTTATAGTAAAAAATTGAGAGAAGAAGATCAAAATTGCGCGTGTTTTTCTTCTTGAATATTCAACAATCTTTTATCCTTGAAAAAACATTTCTTTTACTCTAGCACAGTCGGCTTTCTAAGTTCTCTTGTTTCTTTCCTTTTTTTATGAACATATATACATATTTTTAAGGGGGATATAAAAATGTACAGAACAAGACGAAGACAACACAAGTGATAAGAAAAAATTCATCGTTGCGAGACGAGCAAAAATGAAACTTTTTTTGTATTTTGCTGGTAACTCAGAAATACACGCACCCACCAAAAAAAGTGAAAGAAACTTTATTTTTTTTATGAGGGTGGAAATGCTGTGTACTTGAAAATTCAAGAGGAAATTCCTGCTTTCATTAGATATTCAACTTTCATCATGTCTTGAGTATCGAGAAAATAAAACACTCGAAGTTGTGTTTAACTCTCAAATACGCTAATTAAACTTAGTCGGATGGGATGCTAGTGCTGAATTTTATTTGCATTCGTTAGCGATGAATTGAAATTTTCTCTAGTGCTGATGAATAACGTCATCAGATGGAAATAAATAATGGAGACAATTGAAGTTTACTGACGTAGTTTTCTGCGGTTTTGTAATTTGTTAAGAGTTTTGTCATCGCTTTGCCAGTTTATGATATATTGGCACTAAGTTTAAAGTATAAGACACTACAAAAAATTCGACTGTCTCTTAGGACCCCCTTAAAAATTAAAAAATCACCTTAGTCCTTTAAAACACATCAAGAACCTCCCAAAAATGCACAAAACAAATCTCAATCTCTTGCTCATTTCCATTCACGAGCAATATCAATCGGGTCTGTCAATACTCAATATTATGCAAAATTATTCCATCTTTCTCACCACGTAAATATAATACTTTTTTCATTTGAGACTAATGTTTGATCGAAGCAAATATTGACGGAATTGAATGGTAGAAACAAATTCTCCACATGCCAAAAATGGAAGTGAATAAAAGAAGTCAAGCTGAAGAAGAATTTTTGGTTCGTGATGTTCACTTTTTTGAGGATAGAGGGGAGGGGAAAGCCTTGAGGGGACTTGAGGGAAGAGTTGTGGCTTACAAACTTCAAGTTAAAGTCAGATTTTTTTTTTGGAGGGTCCAAAATTTTTTTAAGCTTCCAAAAATATTGAAAATACATTTCTACTGGGAAAATAGAACAAGAAAGAAATCTCGAAAAGGTGATAAAAAGTTTCTCAAGAAAGAAGATTTGGATGTGCCATGAAGCTTGCAAAAAAGAGCGTTTCTTATTCATTCTGAAAGTTTTCTTCTTTCAGTTGCTATAGCAAAGTATTAAGTCACTAACGGGTAAAGTAAATAAGAAAATTCATAATTAAAAGTAGGTAAAAATAAGAGTGGAAGGAAGAGGATTGAAGATTAGCAACAGAAATTAGTTTGAAGAAATATTTGCTTACGTAATTGAATGCAATTTTGTTGAATTAAGTAACTGGTTCAGTAAAACTTTAGATGCTTAGATAACTTTCAAGGTTGTAGTGTCATTAGTTACATTTTGATTTTGCAATTACAAAATTTAAGTCATAATGACGAGCCCTAGCCCAATATCCCTCCATACAATCCATACAAACTTCACCGGACATAAAAATTTCCTCAATTTTCCCCAAATAATATTCAATAAAAACATAATTCCACAGCATCCTTATTTGACGGATGCCTGATTCAATCTACGAAAAAAAAATAAATAAGCAAGTCACTCACCGGATACGTTCAGAGTAAAGTTCAGCATTTTCGACATATCTGCGCTTGATAATAGCTCGATGATTTTGAATTGGTGAAACGGAAATGGCACTCAAATCATCATTTCCGGATGAAGCTGGTGATGATGAGCCGTTGCTTGATGTGAGACTGCCAGCGCGTCCACGAATTGTTGATTGTGGTGGTGTTGAGACCGACAACTGTTGATCCAATATGCTACAAACTTTATCGACAATACTCGAGCCGAATTTTGATTGAGGCGCAGTATTTGGCGTCGATGTTATTGCCAATGATGGCTTCTGATTATTTCGGTTCTTCTTCTTTTTCTTCTTGTTACATTCATCGTCCATTTTAGGGACACCAAATAGTGTAGCTGTAATTGGTGGAGACCAATCGAGATCTTTCTTAATATGTCCACGACCACATCTGCATCCGCATACTTTATAGACTAAATCGTAGCCTTTCTTTGTCCACAAATTCTGTTGCCTTTGCTTGTCTGACCATGATCGTGCACGTCCAATTGACTTGAGATAACTGAGGACACTCTGTTCCCATTGTTCGAAGCATTCTGCATGCATATACTGACCAGCTGCACAGTTCTCGTTTGTACAGATTATTTTGACTGAATCGTGGAGATGATCCATTGAGATGAGACCAAAGTCTAAAGAGTTGCTTTTCAAGCATTCACCAGCTGGTAAACAGCATTGAAATGATGGTTGCATTGTTGATGACATTATCGTATCGGTGCTATCGCGACGAGGTGCCATTAGCAATAATGGATGTTGATACATTTGAAATTATTTGAACTTTATTTTTGTAGAAATATATTTTTGCGGAATTTGAAAATTTCTTTCAAATTATTCGATGAATTGTTTTATAAATTTGTATTTTTGTCGCACTTTTTGAGGTTTTTTCAAAATTTGTATTTTTCACTTATTTTCGGTTTATTTTTCAGACTATTAAATTTTTTTTGAGGTGATTAGTTTTTTTTTGTAGATTAATTTGATTTATTTTTTGTGTCAAATTTGATTATTTTATTGTTTTTAAAAATTAGTTTTTATATATTGATGACTTTCTTTCAATTTTAGATAAACTTTTTTAGATCTGGAAAATAATTCGGATTTTAGTATTTATTTTTGAAGTTTAATGGATTTTTTTGAAATATAAAATTAGTTTTGTAGGTTTTTGAGTGCAAATTGATTTTATTTTTTGAATTTAAAAATTTAAAAATTAAAATAATTTTTATGAAATATTTTTTTGAATTGTAATTTTAAATTCATTTAAAAAATAAATTCTTAAACTCTAGTTTTTAAAAACACATTTCCACATTTAAATTCCTTCGCATTTCCTATCAGAACAATTACCATCAACTTATAAGAATCTAATTTCATATACTATTGAAATCAAACAATGTTATAACATTCACAAAACTATTCATTCCCGTTCTCAACTTCGCGATGTTCTTCCCTCCCGTTTCGTGCATTCATATGTGAATGTAGAGCTATTATGATTATAATTTATTGTGTTTAAAGAGTATTTTAAGATTTATTTGGGGAGAAATTTCAAGTTTCTCACTGCTGCACATTTAAGGAATTATATTTTAATTTTTATGATGTCGATTGTCACTTTCTTGGTGTTTGAATGTTTTAAGAGATTTTTGAATTTTTGTAAGATTGAATTTTTTAAAAATTATTTAAAAATGTATTTCAAAAAAATTATAATGGAAAGTTTTGTGAATTTTAAAAAATAATTTGAATTTTCAAAAAAAATTTTTAATTTTTTTCAGAAGTCCTTGAAACTCTAGAACATTATTTACAAAAATAATAATTCCAAGAAGTTTGTGTTTGATAAGGAAACATTTTGATATAATTCTTCAGAAAGTCACGTTCGTGCTTCACAATCTAATACAATTTTTCTGTTTATAACCTTGAGAATAATTTTGTTCAAGCTATTTACGAAATTATTCTTGAATGTCTTTTTAATTCGTTTTGCTCATATTTTGTGAATTGAGATTTTTAAAAACAGTCAATTTTTAAATCAACCAAAAATGTGAATATTTCAATTCAATTCTGCAATTCACCCTAGAAAGAAAATTCCGATATCTCAAAAAAAATTCCTCTCACTAATCTCAATTCAGAAAAGTAAACAAGTTCATGGAAATCGAGAGGAAATATTTTTCTTAACAGCTCAGACTAAGACAGTTAATAATTCATGATATCTTCATTTAAGTATTTATTCATAGCAAAATTCTTCACTCTTCACTGGATATTCACAAAAATAGAAAAATAATCTGGAGAAAAAATAAATTAATTTTTTTTCATTCAAAAAATTTCTTGAATAAAATTTGAATTTATTTGGTGTAGGCTAGAAAATTTGTTTTGATTTGGGTTCGTAAGGCTGAATATTTTTTTGGCAAATTTGATTATAGACAATTCAAATTTTGAATTTTATACATTTTTCAAGTAGCTAGAATGTGTGAATTTAAATGAAAAATACGAAACTAGAATTTAATAAGTTGAAAAAATTTATTAATTTTTTAAATTAAGAACTTAAAAGTTTCAAGATAAACATGATTTTTAAATGTTTAAAAAAAATTTAAAATATATTAAAATGTTAAAAATTCAAAAAATCCCACAAAACTTAAAAAAATTCACATCAAAATTCAAAATAAAAAAGTTTACTTTTAATAAAATTCTTCACAATTTGTTGTGTTTTAAATTTATCTGCATTGATAACGAGCCACGAACAGTTGAGTTTATTTATTTACTTTATTCTCTTAAATTTTATATTTTATTTCACATTCATTCACACACATTCACTTTTATTGTTTTTTATTACTTTGCAAAATCGTCACAAATTTTTTATTTTTTTAATTTCACAAAAAAAATTATTTTTTTGCTTTTAAAAATAGAGTTTAAAAAATTTGCAACAACAAAAAAAAGTATTTTCAGTTTAAGGAAAGTAAAGAAATTCCTGCCAATGCGAAAAAAGTCGGCAGAACTTCACTTTTCATCGGCTGTGTTTTCACTTTCAATTCTCTGGCAGATTTTTTTTCCCTCTTCTTTCATCTGCACACACGATTATTATTATTATTGCTGACTTGACTGTCTTGACTTTATTTTATTAAATTTTTTTACGTGATGAAATTTGCAGCAATTTCTTCCATTTAAAAATTTGTTAATTTTTCTTTCAAATTTTCTGTGAAAAAAAAATTCCAACTTTTACATACTTTGAATTAATATTTTTTTATATTTTAATTCACGGCTATAAGACCGGTTTGTGTTGTAAATTTTCGTGTATTCACTCGTTGACGATTGTTTTTTGACTAACTGCTACACATAATAGTAACACAGAATAAAAGAGAAGAGTAAAAAATATTTTTTTTCTTCTTTTCCTTGCTTTTTCAGAATTATTCTGCATGTGTAGTTGTGTTTGTGTATCGCGCGCGCACACACTGATGCGTACGGGAACTTTTTTGTCTTGGTGTGTGCAGTCGAAACAACAACAGCGAAAATGCTGCAATTTTTATTTATTCTGTGCCTTCTTATTTTTCTGGATTTTCTGGCCTCTTTATATACTAAGAATAAATGAAACACTTTAATTTGATTATGCTGGATGGATTATTATATAATTCACTATATATGTGGATATTACGTAATGGGATATGTATTGGGTTTCAAGAAATATATTTTTTTTTTTGTTATTTCTTGTGAGCTTTGCAAAAAACATTTAATTTTTTTTTGCTCTGTTTTGTTTTTGTTTTATTTTTGTGGGAATTTTATGCATTACGAAATGTGTTGTTGAGGGAACTAGATGGGAATTTATTTGGTGTAGAATTATTTTTTCATGATTTTTGTTTTAATTTTGATCAAAATAAAATTAAAAAACAAAATTTTATTAAAATTTGAACTTTTAAAAATAACTATAAGAATATTTGCATAGATTAATTAAAGTACCGTAATTATTTTGGACCTTATTTAATTTTTATCTGGTAATTTAAATTGAAATGACATTGAATTAGATGACAGAAATTTAATTCATTTTTAAAGATACATACTTGGGACTTTGTTGCAAGTATTTGAATAATTGGCGCTGAGTAAAGTTTTGGAAAATTTAAAAAAAAATTATTTAAAAGCACTGGAAAGTTGCTTAAAAAGGGAATGTATTACAAACATTCAAGAGGTTTGCTATCGCATGTTTTACAACTAAGGTCCAGTAAATGCTCGTCAAATAATAAAAGATAGCAATTATCGGGTTTAAAGCCCCAAATTTTAATGCCAAAAATTTCATACTGCCTCACTGGATTATAATAAGACTAGAATGGCAATAATCTATCAAATTAAGATTTTTGCCTCAATGCTGATTGTTCTGCTGGTCTCAAATGCCATGTTTAAACTTACAAAAAAATTAAAAATTATTTAAAACATTTTTGAAACCCTCAAAAACTTCCAAACCCACCTCAGACACCAAAAAACTACTCCAAAATCCCATCCAATCCACATATCACTTCCGTAACATTTCCATCCACATAAATAAAAATCCTCCAATGTCTACTCAATGTTCAATCACGTTCAATAAATTTTCAATCACTCTCAGCTCTCAGACACCACTCCACAAAGGAATTTCTATTAATTTTCCTAATTAATCTCAAAGACCCTCACCTTCAACACGACCAAGTGTGTCCCTGAAATAAAATTTTCCCTTTTTCTATTTAGAAATCGAAAGGCTTTTCGTCTCCAGAAAAAAAATAAATAATTTTCCCCATTGACTGTTCCTTCACAAATCGTGTACATAGAAAGTGCAACTACAATGACATTCAATTTCTCATCTCGGGTGCTCTGTCTGTGCAGAAAAATTCATATGGTTGTGTGCGTGAGTGAGGAAAAAAAATTATTGAGGAAAAACTCTACATCGTACATGGAAATCCGCATGAAAATGTTTCTGCTATTTACCTTTTTCTTTCCTATTTCAACAACGATAGCAAGCTATTGCTTGCTTGCTGTATACAAATAAGAGGGAGATGAACAATCACACATACAGTCGCAACTACCTTGAAATTGAAAACGAGAATGTTTTTGAAAATTTCCCCTTCAGTTTCAATGTTAAAGCGAAACATTTTCACTTTCATGAGTTTCCCTACTACGAATCGCTTACGTATCGTGTACAGTCATAGATGCCGGTTACTAACACATGCAAATAATTGTTTTCTACAATCACAGATGCAATCGCAACAATGAAAGGAAAATTGCAATACAGATTCAGATGGAGGCGAACTTCTCCCCAGACTGAATTTTCATTTTCATGGATTTTTCCTTGTAGATGCTTTAAGCACATGCGTTTGAGTTGTCTACACGAAAAAAGAAAACACAAACTATAGTCGTCGACAATGAAAAATAATACGAACGTAAACGAAGTTTTCTTTCGTTCGATTCCTTTTTCCTGGTCAATGAATGTTCTTCCTTGAAAATTTTCCTTTTTCTTCTTTTTATCCGCCTTTGCTTCCATCTTCTTCTTACTCTGCCACCTCCTTACAATTCCTCCTCATTCATTCTCGTAAAGCTTTGCCTGCCTTTTGTCTTCCTTCCTTATAAGAGTGAGTGAGGTTCTTCTTCTTGTTCTGCACTGCCGCTGCTATTGCTGCTTTTATTTTATACTGAGAATTTATTTTTTCTTTCCGTATTTTAGCGTAGAATTTTTTTTTATGTCTTCATTTTATTGATCGAAATTCTTACTTCTTTTTTTTATTATTTCGCATGGTTTTTTTACACTTTTGCTTGGTTTTCATGCTACTGATGAGTGATGTTGCTGCAGTAAGTGAGTGTTTTCTTGTGGAATTGATTGTAATTTAGCTATTAAAATAAGTTTTGTGAGTAGATTTGCCAGATTAAAATTTTTTTTCTAAAATCTTAAACTTTTTTGCAGTTTTAGAATTTTTTTGATTTTTTGGAATTTTTTAACAACTTTCAATTTTTTGAATTTTTTGAAATTTAAATTTTTGTTTTTGGATTTTTAATATAATTTTTAAAATTTTTGATGTTTTTAAATTGTTTTTGAATTTATTTACATTTTTAAAATATTTTAATAATATTTGAAATTTTTTAAGATTTTTTGGTTTTATTTTTCATTTTTCATTTTTATTTTTAAGGCTTCAAAAATCAAAAGATGAAAAATTTAAAAACTATTTTTTTCTTTTCTATTAATTTTTGAATATTTTTATAATTTCACTCAAATATTTTTCACAACTTTATGCAGCATTTTTGCGTATAATTCTCACAATCATAAATTACAATTGCTACAAAAAAATATGTTCATTTATTGTAAAACGGAAAGAGCAAAAACGACGAAGAAGACAAGAAAAAATTTCAATGCTAGATTTTTTTTCACTCTTTTAGAACTTTTATTTTTCTATTCATTACTTTATGTGCATGCTCGTGCATATATGTAGGTGCATGTGTAGTCGGGATATTTCTTACATAGAAATTGTATGAAAAGTGAAATTGAAATTTTTTATTTGTTCATTAAAATTAGTTTTAAAGCAAAAATGTGAGTCATGGTGAAGTTGGGAGGAAAGAATTACTGATGATGAGGTTTGAGTAAGAGTTTATTTTGAGAATGAATTAATATTGATGGGATTATTAGCTGGGGGTTACGAATGGGTGTGTGATTAATGCAACTGTAAGTCTTTGTGCTAGCAAATTTTTAAATAATTTTTGACAAATAGAAAAATTCAAATTAAAACATTTAAAAAATAAAAATAATAATTTTAACTTATTTCATTCCAAAATATATAAGAGCTACTTAATCTCACCTCTATAAAATTCCTCATCAAATCATTTTAATAACTTTTCATTTATAAAATTTCCGGTAATAAAAGTTGTTCATGTTAACAATTTTTTTTGTACTTCCATCTCTTTTTATTTTAATTTCAAAATGTTTTCATTCAAATGAGCGAAAAAAATTCTTCTTTCAAAAGAAATTATTAGTCATGACAAATTTTAATCTCCTTTCATATTTTTTCTTATTAAATTTTATTTCATATGTGCGCTCATACTTTAACAAATTAAACTTGGCATAATTTCAAAAGCAGCGCATCTTGAATAAATTTGTGTACATTTTTTTAAGAAGAAAGATGAGATGAAGGAATAAGATGAAGAATTTTGAATGACGACAAAAAAGAGCAGCAGTAGAAAAGAAATTTTTCTGTTCTAGCAATCAAAAGTATATGATTTTGAGATGACGAATTGAAAAGTGAGGCTATGAAATGCATTTTGTCTGTAAGCTAATGTAAACTCAAGTGACTTCTAGAACCAAATTATTGCAATACCAATCATACGTTGGAGACTAGGCAAAGGAATGTTTTTACTAGTCCTTTGTCGATACCAAATGTCCTGAAAATAAAGCTCAAAGCCCCCTTTTTGAGACTACAGACAATGGTGACATCAAAGGAGTGGTTTGGATCCACCATTTTACCAAAGGTCTATGTTTGAGTCCAACAGTCTGGTTAATCCTTACTTGACAAACTCTCAGTAGTCGGCATTTGCTTCTGACTTGAGCCTATCTTGTCAAACGTCTTCATTTTTCCAAATTACTTCAAACCAAATCAAAATATTTTTTTAAGTTTTTTTAAGTTTTTAAAATTTTTCCAAATTATAAAATAAAATCCCAACTTTTTTCTAAGTGTCAATTAATTCCACCATAATCTGATCTAAATTACCAAAAAAAAAAAAAATCTTGCCCAACTCAACATTAGATTCTAATCTCCGAATTGCTTCATTAAAATGCGCCTCGAAAACACCAATCAAACTACAAAAACAGTTTTCATTCCAATTTAAATTTATTTAAATTTCATTTTGCCACAATAAATTTTTCATATTCAAAATAAAAAGAACACAAAATAGCGATAGAATGAAAGCATCAAAAGAGAGCATCCGATGATGACGATAAAGTTCTATCATTTGTGCTTCCCTCCCTGATTTTTTTGACCGTCACGAAATTGATGGAAATTGTGAATTTATTAAGCTTTCATTGCAGTGGCAATTAGTGATCGGGATATGTTCAATTTTGAGGTTTTAGGATTGTTTGGTAAGTTTTGATGAACATTGAGTTTTTAAAACTTTATAAAAAATTTTTAAAAATTTCCAGGAACCATCCACACCTTGTCAACACCACCAACAGCAAGCAAAAAAATATTATAATGAAACAAAAACGTGAAAAACATGAGAAGCAGGTAAATGTGAATAATAAAAATCCACCAGCAACTAGCAACTGGCAGTTTGAAGTTTAATTGAAGCATAAAGAAGATTTTTTTTT